ATTATACATGCAACTTTATTAATAAAATATAATAAAAATTAAAATTTTTGTTGTATATTATAAAAGCTTTCAATTTTATTAATAAATATTTTTTATTTTATATTAAACAAAAATTATATATTATAGTTTAATTTATATTTTTTTGGATTTTTTAGATTTTTTCTAATAAAATTATTCTAATTGTAAAATAATTGTAAAAATTTTTTATAATTAATCTTATATTTTAATTATAAAAATTTGTAATAACTTTGTAATTAGAACAACTTTATCAGAAAAAATCTAAAAAATCCAGAAAAATATAAGTTAAACTATAACTTATAATCTTTATTTTAATATAAAAATAAAAAATATTTATTAAAACTTTTATATAAGACAAAAATTTTAATATTTACTATATTTTATTAATAAAATTATATATAATTTCATAATTTTATTAATTATTATATATATTTATAATTAATTACTAAAAATCCAAATAAAAATATATTAAAAGTAAAAATATAGTCAAAATTAAAATTTTCTCTTTATAATAAAATTTTTATTTTTTAGTAATATTTTTTGTTTTTATATTAAAATAAAATTAAAAAATTATATTTTAATATATATTTTTATAGATTTATAAATTTATTTTCAAAAATATTTTTGATTATAAAGTTGATTATACAAATTTTTTATAATTAAATTTTATTAAATTTTACTTAAAAAAGTTTATATAATAAATAATATTATATTGATTTTAATATAAAAATAAAAATATTTATTAGTAAAATTGAAATCTTTTATATAAAGAAAAAAATTCATATTTTATTGTCAATATATAAAATTTTTAATTTAATTAATAAATATTTTTTATTTTTATATTAAACCAAAAATTACAAGTTATATTTTAATATATATTTTTTTGAATTTTTTAGATTTTTTTGACAAAGTTATTCTAATTGCAAAGTTATTATAGAAATTTTTTTTAATTAATTTTATATTTTAATTATAAAAAATTCTGTAATAACTTTGCAATCAAAATAATTTTATAGAAAAAATTTAAAAAATATATGTTAAAATATAACTTGTAATTTTTGTTTAAATATAAAAATAAAAAATATTTATTAATAAATTAAAAATATTTATATAAAATAAAATTTTCAATTTTTACTATATTTTATTAATAAAATTATATATATTAAAAAATTTATAAAAAAATATATTAAAATATATATTTTTAGCTTTATTTTAATATAAAAACAAAATATTTATTAATAAAAATAAAAATTTTATTATAACAAAAATTTTTAATTTTATTTTTATTATATTTTTTAAGTTTCTAATAATTTATTATAAGTATATATAGTAATAATCAAAAATAATATAATATTATCAAAATTTATTAATTAAATATAATAAAATATGAATTTTTCTCTTTATATAATTTTACTAATAAATATTTTTTATTTTTATATTAAACTAAAAGTAATATTATATATTTTAATATATACTTTTTTAGATTTAATCTGATAAAACTATTCTAATTGCATATAAACTTAATTATTTTTTATATATTTTAATTATAAAAAAATAATTAATTTTATATGTAATTAAATGTAATTAGAATAGCTTTATTAGATTAAATCTTAAAAATCTTAAAAAAATATATGTTAAAATATGTAATATTATCTTTATTTAATATAAAAATAAAAAATATTTATTAGAAAATTAAAAACTTTTATATAAAGAAAAAAATTTATATTTTATTATATTTAATTAATAAATTTTAATATTATTATATTATTTATTCAAATTTTATAAACGTTAAAAAAGTGAAATTTTATATGAATACTTGTAAAAAGTTAAATTACAAATAATATACAATTAGATCTCTCTAAGTGCACATTTTATAAATACACAAATTATATAAATTCTTTCTAAATGCATAATAAAGCTTGATTTTAGCTTATAAAAACTATACATTTTTCTTTCTATAAATGCACATTCTTACTAAATACACTTTTTATATTTTTTTACTATGATCCCAAGGGGGATGTACTTAGAGAGCTCTGATTATATTTTTATAAGTGTTTCGAAACTGATCAAATACTATATAATATATTGATTAATAAGTAATTTTTGGAATCTTCTTATGTATTATTTATTATTTATTGACTTTAATGTGAACTTTGCAATGTTTTCTAAGAATCAACTTTTGGAATTTTTGATAACTTTTTGCTTATTATTATTCAATAAACATATACTGCGATTTCCTACAGGTTTCCAGAAATTTACATAGTAAAATACTATGTTTTTAAATTACTACTTCTTCTTCACTCTATATTAGATTAAACAATGGTAAAAAGATCAATCATGCAAAAAAAATTTTCACTGTGTACAATTGATCTTTTTATTACTTCTATAACTTTGCAGCTATAAATTTTTACTCTATTTTTTATGTAAATTTTTATTAAAGTAAAAGAGAAGTAGCAATTTGAAAGCATAGCATTTCACTATATAAATCTATTGATTCTGAAAAAATTCACTTAGTGCCAATCAATATGACATTAATTAGATTTGACTTAAATAAGTCCTCTAAAATTTTTACCCGCTGATAACTCTCAGTTTCATTTTTGTGTCTGTATCCAAGTAATACTCATAAAGCTAATTAGATTTTTTGAGTAATACTTAATTAGATTTTTTGACATCTAAAATTTAACTCTTGCCAATAATGTGATCGATTTGATTGAAAAAGAAAATTCAGGTCTTAAATGACTGGCCTTGACAATTCCTAGATCTCAATATAATCAGAAATGTGTTTTTTTTAATGTTTTGGTAACGAATTGGCTCTGTAATTAATAATTTTTCTTGACTTATAACGTATCGATAAATTAGATATATCAAAGATGAACCGCATAATACATATACATACTTATAATGAATTCGGTCAGTCAGCCTATGACATTCGTTACACTGAGAGATTATATAATCACAGCATCAGATTTTAAAGAGGTTGTGACTATATTTCTTATCCCTCATACTAACTGGAACGGAAAGAGGGTATGATTATATGAAGAAACGACTGTGTACGTATTTTATTGCTGAAGTCATAAATTTCAAAATGAATCATAACAAGCACTTTTAGCCATTTTCTGCAAATAAGCTATAAAACTTTTTTGGATAATATATACATGTATCTCAAACATTTTACGAGTCATTATCGAAATAATCGCATTGTTCGCCTTAATTATTTTTTTAACGGCGAGAATGTTAATCATTTAACACAATTAATTTTAAGGAAAAAAATGTGCTCGAAAGTCGCATTCTATCATCCACATTTGCTAGTAAAATGTTGTTAAAATTAAATAGAATACATAAGGTTCATCGACCCACGCGGGGATCTTTGCTACTTTTCAAATTTTGTGTACTAAAGTCATATCAAAATAGGCTTACAAATGTACCTTCGTTACGAGCTTTCTTTACTTTCATAAAATAAGATACACTGTGCGATAAATAATCTTAATATCTCTTTTAAATAAGGTTAAGGCTTTAGCCGATAAAGATAACACACTGACCTTGACATTTAAAGCCTTTGACAAATGCACATATAATAATTATTAATCGAGCGATCGCTTTATCAGATCCGAACTACATCGATCATTAATGATTCCTTGCCAACAATATCAATTAGATCCCGATAATAGATAATAACAATGTTAGATTTCATGATCGCGATGCGCCTTTGTGCTCAAAGTTCCATAATCTTATTAAAGTTGTGATACCTTTTACAATAGCGATAGTATTACATGTTACGTACATGTACGTTCTGTATTCGAGGAGCACATATACATGTACATATTCCAAACGTTAGCACCAGATTTTGTTTAAAGAAAATTCGATAAATATTCGGTATTACAGAAATTGCATTTCACTCGAATAATCTCGCGTACTAACTGCATTGCGCCCTTTATCTTGTCCTACTAAGCACATACACCATTTATAAAGAGTAAGAATAATAAAGGCTATTGTTTTTACTTTTTTGCCACTTATATATGACTCCTTGCTAAGGTGATACACAACAAAGAATTATTCATGTCAGTGATATAGCGCAATACGTACATGTCAATAATAGAGAGCAAATACAATCTGCAATTTTAGGCGTACGTTAGAATCGTATCTTCTCCATAATATTATATATGCACGTTGTACATACCGATACGTATCAATATTGATGATGTATTCATCCTATTTTAAAGTTCTCGATTTGGAAAGAAACTTAATGTTATTTCCCTAATTCTATTTGGAGCTCTTTTGAAACACGAGAAAAATTTTTGAGGTGTCACAATGATTTTACAAAAACGCAAAATATTTGTGCATGATTATCGTTATACAGCACATCGATACAGGTTTAAATTTCGGATTTTGTATAGTGAAAATTTGGCTAGTTCCGAAATTCATATTACATGTAATATCGGATATTAACATCTTTCCAACCCATTATTTATTCATTCAATTTCGATAACATCGACTCAACCACCAAAATTTTTGCTCCAAACTTTGGGCGTTCCACCCGAAAACAGAAACATGCATGACCATAGTTGAATATTACAATACAGCCATTGGTAACTCTATTTGACGCATTCTACGAGTTTTCGTTTCCAATTTCATTAAAATATATGGGACGGTTACTGATAATATTAAACTAGTGCTATTGTATTATTGTTTACATCTATTGTCATTTATTACTTTCCTGCGTTTAAATGACATTTACATTCAGTATTACAAAATATTTTGTATACAGTTTCTTTTTATCCAGAGAATTACGTAGTCAGAAGACTTAATTGATTCCTCGAATCGTAGTAGAAACGTAACGCCAATCGAATTTTTGTGTATGCTTTAACGAAAAAAAAAGGTACTGCAGATTACAAGTTTTTTTTATAAAGCGAGCTGAATGAACCTTGCGATGAAGAAATTTGTCTTTGTTATGTTAAGATTTTCCATAATTTAAATTAATTATCATAATGAATAACCAGAACAACAAAAACACCAATTTCAGACATTTTCGACATCATTCCTTCTCAGAACCTTCTTTATTGGATGAAGAAGAAGATGAGGAAAATACCCTTAAAGCAGCTACAACAACGGCCATATCGACAATTATGGATGGGAAAGTCATAGAAAACTTGAAGATTACTTTTCCACCAAATATCAATCTGGACGAATTACTACCGAAATCGAAAATGGCTGGTGTCTCTTCAAAACCACCGAACAGCTTTATTATTTATCGTAAAGCTTTCGTCAAAGAGTTAAATGCTCAAGGTTATTATTTTGAAATGAAAAAAATTTCTTCTCTTGTTTCTGCTAAATGGAAAAGTGAACCTGATTATGTAAAGGAAGCATATCGAAAAATTGCAAAGGAACTCGCAAGTCTCGTGCCTCCTGTAAATAGTCAAATACGGAAATCTAAAAGACTTAATTGGGTTTCTGTATCAACCAAACAAGAATTTGCTTTGGGTAAAAGACAACGCAATAATAATACTACTATTACTACTACTACTACTACTACTACTACTAATAGTAATACTAATACGAATAGTAATAATAATAGTAGCAACAACAATAACAGGACCAATAGCAACTCTAACAATAACAATACCTCCAAGTTACAACATTGTTTTAATAACATGCCAATTAACAATAAATCCGATAGAAATTCTACGGAAGATATTACATCATCGTCATCATCATCAAATGAAAATTCGCGAAAGAAACCTAAATCACAAACGACGATATCATCAGCAGCATCACATCCGATTCAACTTGAACCTTTCCAGAATACAAATAAAATAAATACATCGACTAACTTAAATTACGAATTGAATCATACTTTCGGAAATACTGCAAAGGCTCATTTACCTTTACCTATAGATCGAAGATCTCAAAATATTTTTACCGGCGATATATTTCACTATAACTTTCAGATTCCGGCAAACTTTTCGAAAATGCCATCGCTAATGAATAACGTTCCTCAATCAACTTTGTCGGATTTTAAGCGTTTACTGTAACCGAATTATTTCACATCTAAGAATGAGTCTTTATAGGTTTGCCTGTTTTTTATGATCAGTAATGAAGGTCGAAATTCATAAAAAAAGTGAGTAGTGCATTTTATTCTCTTCATCTTTTTTTATTCACGAAATAATAAATTTGATCATTTTATTTTAGAATAAATAAAAATGAATCACCAATTCGGAGGACTAATTTATCCTGGTTTGTATATAAGCTCATCATAATATAATATGAAATTAAAATCATTCATTTTTTTTTAGCTTAATCCTTGTCATTTGATTAGTTTAATTGACTATACAATTTGCACGCACATTTTTACATAGTCACTTATTCGTATCGTAAGGTTATTATTAACTACTATTTTTTCCTTAAGAATATTTTTAATAATTCACTAAAAATGAACAAAATTTCTGACCTTAAGCTACTTTACTACAAAATTACTTATTTGATTTTTTATCAATAAACATAAATTTAAGTATTCAATTAATTGACTTAAATTCGATAATATTTTTTTCCTAGCTTACCAAAGTGATTTTCGTCGGCACGAAAAACCTAGCACACGTGAAAGAAGACATAATACCAAAAGATAAAATGAATAAAGAATCATAACGCTACTTGTATAAGACTAATGAAGACCTTGCGATAATATTTTGTTCATGTTCCAATTAATCAGTTAGCTTTCAAATAATCGAGGTCAATACTTCCCTTTATTTACCTCTCTTGACGTGAAAAACCCATCGTTAATTCGTGCTCTCAATTAGGATCGGATATACAAATAATTTCGTGTCACAGCTATCGTACGATTAGAAGAATATCACATCACATTCCGAAATACATGTAGTATGAACTCACAAGAGATGCGAATGTACAATTTCAATTTAGTGCATCCACTTCGTGTTCCAGCATTGTTACGCCAGTAAAAAAATCGAAATGGGATTATGACCAGGTGAACGCACAACATTGTACTACAAATGGATATTTTTTGATTCATTTTTCCTTAAAGTTCTCACTGCATTTATAATTATAAAAACTCACCAAGTTGCTTGGTCTTTCTTTGAGTACATGTGAAACTTTCGGGCATTTGGACATTTGGACTGATAAGTCTCTTTATATTGGACAAGACAGTTATATCTCAAATAAAGTACCATAAATTAGGTGATTTTTTTCTACCAAGAAAGCTTCTTCCCTCCACTATACTGGAAAGGTCATCGTTATTAATTAATAAACTCGGTGAAACTTTCTCATCATATCGATATCAAATCACCTAATTCGTTGAATAATACATGCAAATACCTGATTTTGTGACACAGTACTAAAATCGAAAACTGATTATGCATAACGATAAGTAGATCATTCAAAAAATTTTATCCGCAGTTTTATAGTTGGGTCCAAAAGCAAGCTTTTATATTATTGTATTATAGTAAAAAGTGAGATTGCAAGAAGTTTTTTCAATCTTTTTCGACTCTATAATCATAGACAGCCTTATAAGAAACAATACGCCTGTAAATTCCGATATATGACGGAAAAAAATACGAAAGTCTTATATGTCATGTAAAAGGTCGCTTCTACATGTTTTACAGAAATATAAACACGTAATCGAGTATGTAAATGCATAAAAATGTAGGACAAACAGATTCTTACAACTTTTTACATGCGCGATTTACGAGATTATATACGACCATTTGCATACATTTTACAGACATACTACAGTATGTGCGAATTTGCTTATAGTGCAGTTACTTACAAAATCTTCAATTGATTATTCCTAGACCAACCAAGTTAGAGAAGTTTTCTCTTTGTAAAAGAACGTTATGACCAGTGATTAGTAAAACTTACTGTTAACAATAGTGAAGTTTCAATATTTATAAATTAAAAACTACAAATGCAATCAGATAAAACTCGAAACGATCTATTATATTAAATAAAATACGTACGTTTATTTATCTCAATTAAAATATGCATGTGATCAATAAAAATGGATAAGTGATCTTGAAATACAAAACCAAACTGAATATGTAAATTAATTAATCAATATAATCTAAACTTCAAAGCTTCAAAACAATGAAAAGTTATTTGCAAACTAAAAGAATTTTACAATTGAGAAAATTGTTTGTAAAAGAAGTTATTTCTATATTAATATTGCAAATAAGAACAGAATTTAAATTAATTTAGAGTTGATCCAAATTAAATTTAAGGATATAAGTAGAATTAGAATGAAAATAATAGTTAGTGAGAAATAAGATTAATATTGTTCAAAGAATTCTAATAAATGAATTCTGAATTAATATTGAATTATATTCGAGTATTAAAAAACAGAAATTGATAACTATATAAAGATTAAATTTCCCATATTTATAATAAAAAATGTATAATTGTAACTATATTAAGTATAAATAATAAGATATAAATAATAATTTTTGTATTAAGTCATCTTTATTTTTTAATTTATATTATTATTTATAGATATATATTTTCATAAATTAATATACTAATAGAAACAAATATTAAAAACTTTTAAATAAGCTATTGTTATTATTATTAAGTTAGCTTAGAAAAAATTAATTAATTATATTATTACAAAGTAATTTAAAAATTTTATAATAAAAAATATATATTTTGATTTTATTAGAATTTACAAAATAACTATTATTAAAATATAATTATTTACAAGAAAAATTTAAGATTACTATAATATTTTTAAATAATACATTTTTTATGAATTATTATAAAATTATATATTATATTATATATAATGACAATCAGAAATAATGCAATAATATTAAAATTTATTAATTAAATATAGTAAAATACAGAGTTTTCTCTTTATATAAAAGTTTTGAATTTTACCAATAAATATTTTTTATTTTTATATTAAAATAAAGATAATTTTAAAATATATTTTTTTCAAATTTTTTAGATTTAATTTGATAAAGCTATTCAAATTATATATAAAGTTAATTATTTTTTTATAATTAAAACATATAAAAAAATAATTAACTTTATACATATTAAGACAGTTTTATCAGATTAAATCTAAAAAATCTGAAAAAACTATATATTAAAATATGTAAAATTATCTTTATTTTAATATAAAAATAAAAAATATTTATTAGTAAAATTAAAAACTTTTATATAAAGAGAAAACTCTGTATTTTACTATATTTAATTAATAAATTTTGATATCATTGTATTATTTCTAATTGTCAATGTATAATAACAATCAAAATAATAAAAGAGCAAAAAATTTATTAATAAAATATAGTAAAAATATAAAAAATACAAGTTTTTTCTTTATATAAAAGTTTTTAATTTTATTAATAATTATTTTTAATATTATATTAAAATCAAGATAATATTATATATTTTTATAGAATATTATATAAAATTCTTTAATTATACATAAAATTAATAATTTTAAAATTAAAATATATAATACTATATTTATTTTAATAAAAAAATAAAAAATATTTATTAATTAAATTAAAAACTTTTAAATAATTTCTTTTTATCTTTTTATTATATTTTAGTTTAGTAATTTATTATAGATATAAATATAATAATAATAATAAAAAATAGAATATTAAATAAATTTATTAATAAAATATAGTAAAAATATAAAAAATACAGATTTTTTATAAAAAGATTTTTATTTTATATTAAAATAAAAATAATATTATATATTTAATATATAATTTTTATATTATTTTGATAAAGTTATTCTAATTATATACACACCCCTACAATAAATTACTGGAAATCCAAAAAAAAGCATAGTAAAATATAGTAAAATTGAAATTATCTCTTTATAATAAAAATTTTATTATTATTAGTAAATATTTTTTGTTTTTATATCAAAAGAAAGCTAAGAACCTGTATTTTAACATATAT